GGAGGCTAGCTGCAGGTGGGAAAAGGAGACTTGAAAATTAATCTGCCCTTTAACTTCAAAACAGTAAGGTGAAGTTACTAAGCACCACCAGTAGTATTATAAGGTTGGAGTAGGATCCATCTCCTGGCTGCAGAGGCGGCGGCTTCTCTTCCCATCAGAGGGACAGTCATTTAGAAATGACTGTGTGTGGCAGCAGATGTTGGCTGTTCAAGGGCCATTTGATGGATGCACACAATACTCTTCCCTGTCATACCCAAACTGACTTACCAATAAATGCGTATGAAGAGGGAAGGCAGAAGGAAAGACAGAAGATGATGTCCAGCCAGGAAGGCCTATGACACTATATCCAGAATGATCAGAGAGACAGTCCCTAAGGTAACCAACCTCTTAGAGATGGGGCTTGAATATAAGATAAACTATGAAGGAATGGATGCAGCGAACTCTTTTCATAATCCTCATGCTGGGGTTTCTTTTGTTCTGTATATAATTCATGTTGTGTGCATACTTCAAAAAATACTCCATTTCTCACATTTTAATCTTTATTCTCTATCTCTGTGGAGATTCAACCAGATGGAACATGTTTAGTACTTTGAAGTGAAAATTAAGTTATTAATATTGTTATGTGACTTTTCAAAAATGCAAATACATCAAGATATAGCTAATCCTGATCTTCTCTCAAACAGAGTGCTACGATTGTGTTATTCAAAGCAAAACTGTGTGTTTAAGAGTGCATTCAAAAAACAGAGTTAAACTTGCATATTGCTATTCCTAGCAAAGTCTATATATTATGGAAATGATTCTGAAACCCCTATTAGGATCACCAAAATAAATTCTAACCTGTGTATCTAATTCCATTAAAACACTTAAATGCTACATTTAAGTAACTAAAATACCTTTTATATTGGTAAGATTCATGCACGTAAATGTAATAATACACATCAACGTTTCCTCTATGAAAAGCTAATTTTCACTTAAAATTTTAGAATTCAAACTGAATGAACTTAAAACCACAGACTATGCTTACTGATTACTCCTGAATGAATCAACTGTCAGAATCCTGCCACAATTACATCAAAAGTCCATTTCATGTAACCAGTGTCAGGTAAAAACCATCTTACCAATTCCTGACATAACTATTAACATGTTTTCCTTCTATGAAAGCAAATCAGTAATCAATGAGAAAATCTAGATTATTTTAATAAAAACAAAAACCAGTTTGGTTTGATTCATACCTAAAGAGTTTATAACTATAGTAAATCCAACACACCGGCCCTGAACTAGCTTGGCTGTACGTTACAGAAGAAAGCATTGATGATTATGTGCTACTTAAATCTACACCTTAATTATTCTGGGAAAAGTCAGAAGTATCTGAGAAGGTATAAGACTGTCTGGTTGAAAAGAATGATAAAACATTGGTTCCCTTGTCTTTTCTTCCTTTCTATGTCCTCTATAAATAATTCTATCATAATTACTTTTTCCTAAGGAGGGGTTATTTGAAAGCAAATTTTGGGGGGCTGTAAGGGACTGGGGAAGGAGGTAAAGGAGAAACAGGAAAACACAGTAACATGCCCCAAATTCAGCAAAGCCCATTAGTAATTTTGTAGTAATTGAATGTAATAGCCCATTTTCTGAAATAGAAAACAATAATCATTCTATCTCATAACCTATTATAACCTGTACTTAATTATCTCCTCTTGAATAATTAATTGCTTGGGTAACACAGAATGTGAAAAGATGGAAAATGTAAGATTTTCCTCCTTTTATCCCAATGATGGGGTTTTTCAGAAACAGGATAATGTATCTAAGTGACAGAAATTTCTGCTATATATAGGCAAATAATTGAAAATAAATGCTTTTCTATTTCATGACTATATGAAGTGATTGTGGTTGAAACTATTAAACAATTCGTTTCCTGTGATGTTCACCTAGGTTCTGAATCATCCAAGCAAATTACCCTTCTTTTGAATGGCTTTTTAGCCTCTTCTTTAGTTCTGACTCCTGGTTCCTGTGCTTTTTAATCCATTCTTGAAAAGCTTTCATAACAACTAGTCATGCACCACATACATTTTGGTCAACAAAGGACTGCATATATGATGGTGGCATACCACAGAGCCAAGGTGTGGAGTAGGCTATACCATCTAGGTTTGTGTAAGCGCACTCTATGATATTCACACAACGATGAAATCACCTAACAACACATTTCTCAGAACATATCCCTGTCATTAAGTGGCACCTGACCATATACATCACTGCCACTAAGACCAATTCTGTTCTCTGGCTTAAAATAACAAAATATTAAATTGCTTTGGCAATGTGGATTAAGCCAGCTTTAATCACTAAATGATGCAAAATAAGAACACATGACCGAATGTGACTAAATAACAGGACTTCTTTTCTAGACCTTTAAATGTTCACTTTAAAAATGTCCAAACTAAAATTCTGAAACAGATTAGTCTTTATTATTATAAACGTGTAATTCATTTTTTCCATGATATATGTACTATAAATACTTAAAGGCTGGCACTATGTCTTCTTTATTTCTTACATCTTTCTATCATGGAGTACAGCAGATTATATATGTAATAAATTTTAATTACAGCATACCAGCTTGATTTACCCATTCATTCAAAATTTTGAGTGACCACTCTTGTTAATTACCATGAAATACATTGCTGAATAAAACAGACATAGTCCCTCCTCTCATGGAACTAAAGGAGGATACAGACAATAAATCAAACAAACATAATTACAAATTGTGTTAGGTATAAAGAAAGCACTGAATTAGGTACAGTTAAAAAAAAAAAAACAACAAAAAAAACACCCAGGGCCGGCCGAGTGGCGCACTGGTTAAGAGCTGGCTTGGGATGCCAGAAGGCCCCGGTTCAGATCCCACATATGAGGGCCAGTGACACTGCCCTCTACAGCTAAGATGCTGAACAACAGCTCAACCTGGAGCTGGGCTGCCGTGAGTCGCCGGGGACGGCGTAGGCTGCAGCTCCTGCTGCAGTGGGTTGCCATGGGCTACCGTGTGTAGCCAGCAGCCAGCGTGAGCGGCCAGCAGCCGCAGTGAGCAGCCGTCCAGAAGCCGGCGACTGATCTGCCTCGCCCGGGAAGAGCGCAATGATGGTGTCAACTTGGGCCAGTGAAGCAACGTCCTCCACAACTAAACTGAAGAACAAAATGACAGCAACTTGTCTGTTCCCCTTCCCCCAATTCCCCAGCGCTGTTCCAATTCCCCAATAAAAATCTTTCAAAAAAAAAAACACCCCAAACTAATTAGGGGACAAGAAAGGCCATTTTGAAGAGGCAACATTAAGTCCAGACTTAAGGAGCCAGGCTCAGAAAGCACTTACCAGAGAGTGGGAATGAGCTGAAAAGTCTTGAAACAGGGAGAAACCAGCACATCAAAGAATGAAAGCAGCTGGTGTGGCTACGGAAGAGCATGACAAGGGCAGTGTAACACATGGATGAAGGACCATATCATGTAGATGGCCTTGCAGTCCAGGTCAAGGAGTTTGGATTTTTTTTTGGTGTAACAGGAAGCCATTAAAAAGTTTTAAACTGGAGATTGACATAAACTGATTTATATTTTGAAAAGATCATTGTGGCTGCTGTGGAAATACCGGAGGCGCCAAAAACATGTATACACAACTTGCATTCATCTTTTGTTATCTGTATATATTGAGTATTACAATTTAAATACAGTTTTTTCCTTCCTTAAAATGTATACACATTTTTTTGACACCCTCTGTATATTAGAGGGAAGAGTGGCAAAAGAGGAAATGGAGAAACCAGTTAGGAAGTTACTGCAATAGTCTAAGCTAGAAATGATGGTTACCTGGGCTTGACAGAGGGTGGCAGCAGAGATGGAGTAAGAGTCCGATAAGAAATACTTTTATGGATAGAAATGATAGGCTTATTTAGGAACAGGTATTAGGAATGAAGGAAGATGACTCCCTGGTTTATGACTTAGGTAAATAGTAGTGTTTTCTTTGTTTTTTTAACTGAGATGGAGAAGACAGGTAAAGAACAGGTAGAGAAGGAGAATATCAATCAATAGTTCTGTTTTGGACATTTAAAGATGTCTATTGGGATATCCAAGCAGAAATGTCAAGTGGGTGTTTAGATAAAACAAAACTGGAAACAGGGACTATGTTAATTAGTTTGGTAATTTTCAAATTTGATGTGCATATTTAATGAAAATATAGATTTGAGTCCCACATCCCCTGCACCTGAGATTCTGCTTCAGTATGCCTGGGAGAGCCATAGGAATCTGCATTCTTAGTGAGTCTAAGAGTGACTCTGAAGCAGCTGAGTCTGATATTACATTTTGAGAAGCAATGATCTAGAGACAGAAGAAAGTCCAAAACTGAGAATTGGCAAATTATAAACTTAAACCCTGGGTAAAGGAAAACGAGCCTGCAAAGGATAATGAACAGGAACAAATAGGGAAAACAAGAAAGTAGGGTACTCCAGGATTCAAGTAAAAAAAGGGAGTGGTAAATTGGGTCAAATACCACAGAGAGTAGGGAGAAAAGCGACCAATGGATATAATAATAAATTCGTCTTCACAAGAAAGGGCAGAGACAACGTAGAGCACCTGATAGAGCAAATGGGAAATGAAGGAAGGTGATGACAACTCTTAAATTTTGGCTATTGAAGGGGTGTAAATAAAAGGTGCAGAAATTGGGAGAGGACAGCAGGTATGTAAAAAGAAATTTAGGATCCTTTTATAGTCCTCTTTTGACCCAATACCTGTCATGTTTTACAAAAGTAACTATTTGAATTCTATTTCACATAATAAAGTTCTTTAACAACAACAACAACAAAAAAGGCCTTTCATTTCAAATTTTAAACATCCCACCTATGACCACATAGAATTTTTTATCAATTATATATAACACCACTTTTCCCCAAAACACGGGTAAAGAACCAAAATTGCAAGTGTTTCCTTTCTCCACAAGTTATAACCGCTTCATCCTCTAGCTCTTGTTATTTACCCTTGCAAGATCCTCTATTTCAGAACTGAAGTTTGTTTCTCCTTCCATCATTTCTTCTTCTTCTAATGTTCGTTCATCATCAAAATCATGAACCAGCATGTCAGCTGATGGATCAAATTCATGGTCATCTGATGTTGCTGAACCTCCTGGTAAAGAATATTTTAAAAAGTTTGGTAAACCAAATTAAGTGTATTTTATTAACTATTTGTGTATGTTATGTGAAGCTGAATATAAGTCGAACAAAAGTAGCAGGAAAAAGCTATGTACAGCAAGTATTTATTGTTTTCTGAAATTCTTATCCTAACCTGCTCCAAAAAAATTTTTCTCTAAGGAATTTAAGGGATATTTTTGTTTTGTCTCATCTCTATACACAGTTACAACTACAAAACTGGGAGGAGGGGGTATAACTTTTAAAAATGTGTACATCATTTAAAAAGAGTACTGTAATCTAAACATGAAATTTGAGTTGTAAAGAATAAATGGTCATATCAAATAAGAACAATCTTTTGTGTGGGAAAATTCACAATTCTTGTCATTTGATTAATATTTAACAGACCCAATGAGTATGAACTCCTGTGGCCCCTGAGAATATATAGTCATGTGAAATATATAGTCATCTGAATATACAGTCTAGTGAAAATACAGCTACACTTAAATATTATTCTTCTATCAGCACTTCCATGAAAATTTACTCCAATATATAGGAAGCTGTCCTTAACTTATTTAGTTGATTTTAATAACTAATTGAAATATTTGAAATATTAATTGAAATAACACAAGATAAAATATAAAGGCAAAATGTATTAACACTGCATACAGAACTCTGATGAAAGGTATTAAAAATAATCTAGTAGGTAACTGATGTGTAAGCTAATCTATTTTTAGTATGATGGTTGGGGAACATTGCCGTTCTCAATAGGGCCAAAGCGTGTAAGAGTAGATTACAAATGCTGGGCACACATATTCTGAAAACTGTCCCCACATCTGGCTATTGCCAAACATGGACTTAAGTTTACAAAAGCATTGTTTACTAATAAACAAATGAGTTACTTAACATTAAGAAAATCAATTAGCAATTCCTTTTATAAGTTTAAATTGTTAAAGGTTTTATTAATTGATGTACTACACTTCCATTTCACTCCAGTAAGAGAACCAGTAAGTAAAACAAAGCAATGCAGAGGCTGATTTCTTCCAATACAGACTGTTAGGAATAAGGAGAAGCCTAAAACTCTGGGTTCTTCTAAACTCCCACAATTTTTAGAACAATCATTTTCTGAGCGCTTACTAGGTGTCAAATACCATGCTCAAGCACTTCACATACATTATTTCATTTAATCTTCAAATAATTCTATGGAGAACAAAAAGAAAAACTTGAGGCTCAGAGAGTTTAAAGTTTAAGTAGGTTGTAAAGTTTAAGAGCCAGTAGGTGGCAAAGATGAAATTTAAATCCTGGCCCTGTTCATTCCAAGGCCTGTGCTTTGCTCTACCCCAAGCCTCCTGTAAGTCACAGCTTCAGAAACAGTAGGTATCCTGCCTCTAAGAATACTTGAAGAGAGCCTATGTTTACTAAGATGAGTGAATTGAAAACAAGTAAACAAAACATAAAACATTCAATCTGTTTGTATAAGCATTGGACAGTCAGTAAAAACCATCAAAGACATCTGTATTCTTCAAGCTCCACTATTCTTTCAGTTCAGGCTGGACTGATTCAAATGCAATGAAAACTGAGAAAGTCATTAATTAATATCATTTTTTGGAGAAATTATTTTTATGTACCTATGTATTACCTGATGAATGTCTAAAAAAATTCATTAAAAAACTCCCTTAAAACTCAGTCGATTTGCAATGTCACATTAACAAAAAAACCAGAACCTATTTTTTCAATGAAAATTATTTATGTTTGAAAAAAAAAGAAATTATAAAGAATTCCTGGGCTGGCCGAGTGGCGCGATGGTTAAGAACTGGCTTGGGATGCCAGAGGGCCCTGGTTTGGATCCCACATATGAGGGCCAGTGACACTGCCCTCTACAGCTAAGATGCTGAACAACAGCTCAACCTGGAGCTGGGTTGCCATGAGTCGCCGGCGATGGCGCAGGCTGCAGCCCCTGTGGCAGTGGGTTGCCATGGGCTACTGTGTGTAGCCAGCAGCCAGCGTGAGCGGCCATCCAGAAGCTGGCGACTGATCTGCCTCACCCGGGAAGAGCGCAATGATGGTGCCAACATGGACCAGTGAAGCAACATCCTCCACAACTAGACTGAAGAACAAAACAACAGCAACTTGTCTGTTCCCATCCCCCAATTCCCCAATAAAAATCTTAAAAAAAAAAAAAGAAAGAATTCCATGTCCTAAAAAGGACATGGTAATCTAATATTTATCTGAGGTCAGACTACTTCCAACCTCAACCATCCAGAACATATTTATAAACCACGACATTAAAAAAAAAAATCCTTGAGTTTCAGAAATGTCACAAAGTCTAATGTATAATACTTTACTTCCAAGCATATTAGAATGAGTAAGACATTCCGGCTGAAATAAATATGACAGAATCAACTGTCAATTTAGCACACTAGTCATTTAGAAGGGCTCTGGAGGAATTCTAGTCCCCGACCCCACCTGATACATTGTACTACACAGAGTACAACGATAGGTGTTCATGAAAAGGATCCTGGATCCATCCAAAAATAGGCTTACATTATGTTAACCATCTTGACAAACCTTCTTTCTAAAATTTAAAACACAGAAAGATGATTGCTTCAATATTTGGAAAATTCAGTAATATATAACACCTAAATATTCGATAAATGTGAGATGTTTTCAAATAAAATATTACAATGCCTCAAAGAGCGCCCTTTCTCTCTCTTCTTATATTAGGCTGTCACTTAATCCAAGTACTCCACTGCAGAAGGTGGTCCTCTCTCTTGGTCAAGTCCCTAGAACACTGAGCCAAAAAGACTAATACAAGACTTTTCCTTGACTGATATTTAGCTCCAACCAAATGATGCCACGTAGGAATGCTGTACCCAGTGGAGCCAGAACCTCTGACTGATCATAAGAAACCTAAATTCAGACTTTTATAGAAAGTATTTGTATTTTTTAAGATCACTACACTGGCCAAACAGAAAAAAATATTTGTGGCCCAGATTTGGTCCAAAGATCACACGTTTGCAACCTCTAAATTAGGAAAAAAGTGAATCTGTATTCTATTTGGAGAATACAGAAATCCAAAGATACTCATACATGGTCAGAGAGTAAAACCTGATCCTATTCAAATCTAAAAATAACTTCCTTAATTTACAACTTTAAATGTTCATTTGTTGAATGTTTTGCTTATTTTATTTTTCCCTCCACTAAATGCTTTAACAATTTTTTCTCAAATAAATACTTTGAATTTCCTATTCAAGCAAGTATTTCTAAGCAGTTAGTGATTCCTTTTTTAAAAGTACACTTCATATATACTTCAGTCAAATAGTAATTAAAAACTCTAAGAAATATATGTGGAGATTCATCAAAAAAAGAAAAGAAAAAAAAGAGAGAGAACCCACAAATAGTCATGAGGTTGAACTCACAGCAGCCTCACCTGTACTTTCATGGGCAGTCAAATATTTCATCCATTTCTTTTTCCCCAGAGAAATGCATTCAGAAGAAAAGCAAGTCAGGTGACAGTCTAACTCCTCTAGCCTTTATGCAACTAACAGGATAAATGTTACTCAAATAGAGATTAGAAAACATACAGAAAATATTTACCTGGACTTGAAGACTCAACAGATGGCTGGTGGGGAAGGGGCAGGGGGAGAAAGGAAGAAAAATTAGCATCTTATTTAGTAATCTTTACAAACATTACAGATTATTCAATGATTAATATGACAACAAAAACTACAGTAAGTTTTGTATCTGAACTAAGACAAACTAAAACTTCCGTGTAATCCTTTCTTTGACATAATTATTTAAAAATACAGAAAAATTCAAAAACACTCCTGAATCTAGAAACAAAGACAATAATATGGAATGGATTCAGATTTTAAAGGCAAATATGGGTCCTAAAACATGCGTGATTTATTATGGGAGACGATTTTAGATCTTGTTCCTGAATACTCCCTCCTACCAATACAGGAAAACTCGGAACAAGGTTTGCTATCAAGCTGATATCTGGCTTAAAATGTGTTGGAGAAGGTGGAAACAATTTAAGACATTATTTTAGCTAAAAATTATGTTGCAAGCAAGCACAAGGAAAAGTTAAAATGTTACTTAAGCACCAAACAGTACATCAAGTTAACTTTACTAACAAACATATTTGAAAATTATCACAAAATTAGCGACCTTTCATGCTAAATCTAGAGGTTAAATGATCTAATGAAAAATCACAAAGACTCCCAATTATAAAGCTCCTTCTATCTCTCGATACATTTAACCACAAGCATCTGGAAAACTTAAAACTGTTAGCAACTTATTTTAGTAACAGCACCACCTGACAGTTTGTGGCTGTGTTTTATCTTAATTTACCATTATAATCAAGTCATCTACAAACATCAACTTCTATATAACAATATAACAAACTTCTCAATAACAAAAACGCAAAAGATGCTTCAAATGACTTAAACTTTATAACTAAAACTGTGCCTAGTCATCCAGAGCTATTTATTTCATGCACAAAAGAAGTCAGAGATGCTGGAAGGCCCAAGGCAAAAGACACAGGGATATTTTAGTATATTTTCCTTCTTTCCCAATTTTTCAAAAGCTAGGCATCTAAGACAAATTTTTATAAGGTGTTAAAACTCCATTTTGAAAACTGTCCAGGGTATGCTACTGTAGTACGACATTCCAAATTCCATGTGGTGACTTAGGGTCTCTTGAGGCATACTTTTTCAAGGGTCCTATTTTTTCCCCCATTTAATTCTTACACAAGAATGGCTCTTGCCTACAGCATTGTCTTATTCTAACAAAAGACTGACAGTATTCAGTATTGGATATTTTCAAGTGTCACCATCTTTCTTTTAAAGCTACTCTGCCACGATAAGCAAAACAGCACTACTTTTTAATTTGGTTCCTCTAATGGGAAGCTGAAGAGTAGGGTCAGAGAATAATGTAACCATAAAAAAAGGATTTCTACTTTGCTTAACATCTTTCAGGCAGGGTTACATATTTCTGGCTCAAAATAAATTTATCCACCACACAAGTTGTTACACAACAAATCAATATTTAAAAAAAATGAATCTGCTTTTATTTCATGTAATTATACATTAATTTCCCAAGTTTAACCACAGCCTCTGTCCAAGGCTACAGCACCGTTCACGACTGACTATCTTCACCTGGTTCAAGGTTCACTACTCAGAGTAGCCTTACAATGCTGTTTCTCCTTTTTAGTAAATTTTTGAAACAGGTTTGCATGGCATGAAGAAGAAAAACCAGTATTTCTTTCAAATTAGGAACATTAAAAGAAATGATTCTTTGAGCATTTAGCTCTTTTTGAACACCTCAATTATTATTCAATTTAAGTCTTCTGATAAAAAAAGGCTTGCTGATTAAAAATAAGTTAGTCTACTGAAAATAAATAGTACATTTTCACTGATGTTAGACATTGGCAATAATAGATATCGAATTGTGAATGGTGTCTGTATACACATACTTTAGTATGTAAAAGGCCTCCAACAGTACTAAATGTCAATAAATACCATACTGATTGTTGTTTTATTGGTAGTTACCAGTTTAAAGTTCTGAAAAAGGCCACACGTATATTCCATTCATTAAGATACCAAATGTTTTGAGGGCTGGTATAGCATTCGTTAACTATAGCTGACATTAAGGTAGAACACCTAGTGTTCAAAGATAGAATGACCATATTATGTCAGGCATATTGGAATGTTCCAAAAAACATGATTTGACTAATGGTATATCTAGGTTAGGATGGGGGAGGGGAAAGCAGGGATAGTCTGCCTATACATACAAATTTTAGTATTCTATATTCAAAATAAAATTCTATTGTGTTGGTTTAGGGAGGTGGGAATGACATCAGTTTCTTGAAAGTTAATTATCAAAGACAAGCTTCTGAAAAACTGGCATTTGAAAATAGTTTATACTGTAAATATTACTTTTGCCCAACCAGTAAACAAAATAATTATCTTTCAAAATAAGAGTTTAGTGTCATAATACTGGATATTTCAGTGTGCAATGAGGGCATTTATTTAGGTATTTGAAACAGCAGAACCAGCATATGTTTATATAGTACTACATATTTTCAAATGCATAAAGTTACTTAACTGTAACCATAAACCTGGCAATAATGTCTTTCCTGCCTACCTCACTTATATATTAGCAAACTCAGGGAAGTAAAGTGACTTGATCAAGGTTCCATGGTAGGTGGAGAAGGTGGAACTAAAGCCTAGGGCCTGATTCCCTCCCAGGGAAACACCTACATAAAAAAATTTCTTTTCATCTCCTTCTCCTTTCTCCTTTCTTTTTCTTTTTAAAATGGTTCTTATCTGTTTAAAGGTTTAAAATGTGACTGGAAGTTGTCATCTGTTATTTCAGACTATTATCTATGTCATGTTAGGTACTGGTCTAACAATACCCTCCAAGAAAACTGCAACAATCTACATTAAGGACTACAGTAAATTGCAAAGGGGGAAGGAGAGGAAAAAAATAAAACTAAAGCCATATAGGTACTCGCTCATAACAATATCTATTTTTAGAAAAAGCTCAAACTATAAAACGTAAGCAATAAAAATGATTTTACATTGGGGCTTAAAATGTATATAAAATGCACTCATACATTATTGGTAGGGGTATGAGTTGGTTTAATTGTTCTGGAGATGATTTTGCCAACATGAAATTACCCTACTGATATGCCTAAAAAAGAACACCAAGATATATGTATAATGCTCATTATCACAAAGTTGTTCATAGCAAGAAGTTGGGGGAAAAAATTCAAAGCTCATCATTGAACTAGTTAGAAATGAGACATGGTTCTTCCAAACAATTGAACACCACTAATCCATTAAAAAGAATGAGACAGATCTGTTTGTATTGATTGAGAAAAGTGTGTGTGTGTGTGTGTGTGTGTGTGTGTGTGTGTGTGTGTAAAAAGAAATGTGAAGCGGAAGGAGGAAATTGGGCTGAAATATACATAAATGTTTTCCCCAAAAGATACACACAAGAATCTGTTAACAATCATTGCCACTAGGGAACGGGTTGGGCAGAAAGCTTTTTTTCATTTTATACCTTTTTGTACTGCTGGAATTTCTAACTATTTGCAAGTATTACTCCATGATTTTTAAAAATGTAAGTCAGTAGAGATCATCTTGTGGAATTATGAGACATTTTCATTTACTTCCTTTACTTTCAGATTTTTAAGAAAACCTCATACTACCCACTATTTTTCCTTAACAAGTCTGTAATTTTGCAAAATAACCTAGTTTTCTTTTAGGTCATACTCAATTGTTTTATCTGAGATGGAAAACATAACACTAGACAGACACATACAGAGTATGAGTAGGCTAAATCAAATTTTAAAAAATGAACTCTCTTAACTTTTAGAGCAATGTTCATACCTTGACCCATATAGTATGATTTAATTGATCAAGTTGCTAATAGTTGTACAAATACTCACTGCCTCAGATTTGTTCAAATGTTTCTTTTGTATTTTTCTAGAACATGGTGAGAAATATCCCATATACCAGAAAACTATTAAATTGAGAGTAAAAGATCAATTAACTAGATTATTACCATTAAAAAAATAAATAAACAAGGCAGTCAAGACACAAAGTAATCATCAGACTGTTTAATTCTAGGCAATCAAAAGCCCATTTTCAGTGAATATAACTAATGGTCTTAACTAATTTTTCCCCTCAAACCAATTCTATCAATGATGATAGCATTTCTTTAAGTGCTATCATCACCTACTTTGTAAAGTAAACACTAAATTGGAGATTCTCACAGTGATGGGCATGAAGATAGAAGCCAGGAAGGAGTTCAGGGCCCCATTTCCAGCACAGGGAAGGCAGGCGTACTATGCCAAGGGCTCTCTTCCTCCATACCAAACTAAATCACTTAACTTTGCTGGTATCCTGAGGAAACTGAGGGCATAATAAAGGTTAAGTGTTACAGTAAAAACTAGCAAATTTACTACAGTAGTAATAACTTAGAGGATGAATTGCTATTATTATGCATTAGGAATTCTGAAGCCTTGGTTCTAGTGTTAATTGTGCCACAGACTAACTGCACGACCTAGGACAAATGACATAAATTCTGCTCAGTTTCATTTTCTCTAAGATAAGATTTAGACTTCTTCAAGTTTAGTTCAAATTCCTTTGAGATATAAGTTCTTTACTTTTATTATGAATTGCTCAAAAGACAACACTACTAAGAAGTACTTAGCTAAATGGATGGGCTATTTAACAAACTTCTAATTTTTTTTTTTTTTAATCTAGGACTATTGGGAAAAGAGGATCTCAATTTGCAAAAAGCTTTCTGGGGGGTACTACTTTATGAATTCCATATCTACATAGCATAATTATAATGTCATTCTTCATTAAATGGAATAAGTCAAACAGAATGGGTCCCAAGCAACGACTGTACTTGAACAGTTTAATCACTGCAATAAATTTTGAAACCATTTGCAAATCTTTTGAAATATACAGGGACTAGAGCTGAACTTCAAGCAAGAAATTTCTATATAACTAATGACTTTTCATAAAGACATGCTGAAGTTTCAGTGGCAGTGTTTTATTTCTGAATCATTTGGGAAACTGATTAGTCTCACAAGAATTCTCTGAA